AATGCTTCTAGGAGGTGGAATAGAGAAATAATTCAGAGCATCCTTCTGTCTAGTTCTGCTTGAGAAGTAGTTACAATCTAGTTTATAAACCAACTTAAAATACATGTGGTACCTCAAGTCTATTTTATGAGGTATTGCAAATATGGCAAACACTATGGAATTTAAGATAAAAGTATTAAATACAGTTTATGTGTTATAATTGTTGCATAGCTGGGTATCAGAGTGGTATCTCTTACACATCCAGTTAACCTGGATTGTTAATTCCTTGAGGAGTGAGAAATTTCCCAACCTTTCTTCTGCAGAGACAACACACTGAACATGAGGCACACTGATTGATTGAAATCCCACATCCTTCACAACAAAGTATTTGAGCAATTGTTGCAGAAGGTTTCCAGGTGGCTTCAAAAGGTTTTCAGTATATTTCCCCCAGGCATCTTCTGCTCTGGGTGTACTAATTTCATCTTCTCAAATATGTTGCTTAAAATCCCAAGTGGAATATCTGGCCCTTCCAGACATTCCCTTGTGTGTTTCCTGCTGCAGAAGTATCAAAATTGTACCTACATAAGGCATTTCTAAATAGAGACAGTTTCAGCAGATGTAGAAATAGTTGTGTAGGCCAGCCTTTTGTACATAGGGAAAACAGTTCAGAGAGATTTTATGTGTAGTTAAGATGGCCAATAACTAGAGCAGTCATGTAGGACCACAGACCAGCTGGAATTTACAAACTGAGCAGAACAGGAATTTTAGAAGGCTTAGACAATCCAGCTGAAGACACTATTGCAAGGATGCATGCAACAGAGATTCCTGTTTCCATCTGTAGAGCAACTGACTGTCCTGTTTGTGACTCTCATTCTCCATGAAAAAGTTTCCCAGTGCCAAGATCACAAAAATTAGGGTTTTTTAAAAAATACTGTGTCTCTATATGTCTATGCCACATAGTCCAGATCATCTGATGGCTAATTTCCACATAAAATCTGCCACACAAATAACTAAATGTTTCCTAGCGAAAAAACGAGCCAAGCCTTACAGCTGCAAAAGAGCAATTACGGCTGGCTGAGCCTATCCAGCATCAAAGTCACTTGGACTGTAGTAGTTTGTTGTGTTATTCTGCAGGAGGAGCCCCTGGTGGTCTAGTGGTAAAGGCGCCGCGCTATCACCGCCGAGACCCGGGTTCGATTCCCGGTCAGGGCCACTCCCGGGCAGGTGGGGCTCGTTAGCCCTTAAAGGCAACCCACCTACGTCCTAAGGACCTCGCTGCCACCGTCCAAGCTCGCTTGGCCCCGGCAGATGAACCTTAGGATTAAAGGGTGGGCTCAGTTCCGCGCACACTGTGTCTCACCTAAAAAATCCAATGCGCAGGCTGGAAGGTGTAAAGACCTTCCCCGGATCTTCGCTCGCGAAGACTGGCCATTATTCTGCAGGTACGGCCTAGGGAGAGCTGTGAAAGGCTAAAGTGTTCATTGCAGAGAGTTCTTTGGCCCTGTGGACACTTTCACCTTAACTGCCAGACAATCAAAAATGTGATTCACAGTTAATGACCAATTATTTTTTAAAGGGAAAGAGTATTGTATCGGAAGGTTTGATTAGCTCACCTTGGTAATGGTACACCTTCTTGTTCTGACTGAAAGCTACCTGTCTCCACGAGCTGGAGGTATTTCCCTAAGAAAACTTAGGGCTCAAAGTACTCAAATTATTGTTAATAAGTGTTTTGAGATTTCTGTTATAAAAGACACGAGCTTCACCTAAGGCAATTCTTTTGTAATGTACCATAAAAAAATATTGTTGGTTATTGCTCCACAATACAGGGCATCCATCTAGGAAAATAGTGACAATCCTTACTATATTGTTTAAATAGATAGACGTATAGACAGTCCAAGGAGTATTCTCTCATACACTCCAGTGACACTTTCAATATAGAGGTTAGCTCACATTGGTGGGAAGAGTATATTACTTTTGTCTAGTATCTGAGACAGTTGAAATATTTTTCTATATTGTGTCTCTAATTAAGGCCATAAAGCATAATGAAGACTTGTCAGAAGAACAAGATACTTCTAGGGAGAGTAGGATTGTCCAGTTGTACTTAAAATATTTCTTCATCTCTGATGACAGGTCAACATTATACTTTATGGTTGTAATAAAAAACTGGCATGTAATGATCCATTTCTAGGATTAATCAGCAAACACAAGAACTTTCCAATTAGTCCAGGTATCTAAGGGATTCACACCACTCCCTAACTCCATCTTCTCAATCACAGTTATGACTTGGCTGATAGGACAAAGGACCTTAATAAATTAGGTGTCCATTGAGACACTTGCAGGAAACAAGCATGGTTTTATGCAATTTCTTTGGTGACTGTAATGGATATAATATTTTGTTACGCTAGTCAAAACCTAAGTAGTTTTTATGAAACAGCTTTATATCTAGGTTTAGGTCCTCCTTAAATCAGTGAGATTGCTGGCAGATCCACTGATGGTAGGTACAGATCTAAAGATGGTTCTTATTAAGTAGGAGACTATTGAAAAAACCACTCTCCTTTATATTAGAGGAAACTGAGGAAGTTTTTGAGGGCTGTGCTGGGTGCAGGTTCCCTGGTGCTGGACACAGCTGGTTCTGGACAGCTCCAACCCACCCACTGCAGGACACAGCCGAACCCACAGCTAAGGCAGGGGTATCTCAATGGAAAATTAGTGAAGAAGGAGTAGAATTCTCCCTGCACTGCTCAGGGGTAGAGAGGAGATGTAAAATGAGTGAAGACAAGGCTGGGGAGAAGGAAGGTAGGGAGAAGGAAGGTGGGTTTAAGGTGTTATAGTTTTTGTCTTGTTTCTCACCATCCCGTGAGTACAAGCAGCATAAGCAGAATAAGCAACAAAACCAGGATGATCCTAAAGGTAATGTAGAAGTTTGCAATAAGTAAGTTATTTTTGTATTTATTTTACATTTAATAATATATATTCTACTAGAAAATTAATATTTCAATTCAAATTTGTAGTCTTTCCCTTTGGTTGGCGTGAGCTGCACTTTTCACAACCCTTTTAAAACCTCAAGAGGGCAGGTCCCTATGGAGCAGGTAGCTGTTTTTCAATTATTCAAAGGCCTTTTACTCTCTTCTTATAACTTGCTTCTTTTCAATTTTGGAATAAGCTTTGATATTTCTATTAGATTTGAATTTCATTTTATATCACTAAAAATGGCCAATAGAAAAATTACACCTCTTTTGGAAAAAAAACACATGCCTGCTACTTTTCTAAAGAACTCTCCAAAGGTTAGTCTTTGTACATATCATATTCCATGTAATATTTTGGGTATTTTTAGTGTGTCAAGTCTCCTTACTTCTAAGCTCTGTGCCACTCTCAAAGCAAGTCAGGAGTATGGGTTCAACTGGACCTCTCAAGTTTTATCTCCTGGAGAAACCACAAAAGCTTTCCACCTCTAATGCAGGCTGCAGGTTCTGCCTATGTCCTGGTTTCACACAGGAAGAAATTTGAAAGCATCTGCAGAGTGTCACTGAGCAAAATGGTGTTCTTTGTGTCATCACAGTATTCTATTGAAGCAAAGAGGAGTTAAACTCAATTTATGCTGGAGAAACAGAAAATGTTGCCTAATAATTGTATATGAATTAAGATACATGTAATAATGAACATAAATTTAACAGGGTACACCATGGCAAATAAATGTAATTTCTTTCTTTACCGAAAACACTAAGATAATAGAGAAAGAAAATTCAGTCCTTATATATCCAGTGAGACAGTTTTATATAGGTCTTCATAATGAGTTCAATGATTAAAAATATCTAACATAAATGCAATAACTAGACTTGGAACTTGGCTAGAAGATTCACCATTAATTCTCAGCTCTCAGACTTCACCCCCTTCCCCCTCAAAGAAATTAAAAGGCATAAGGTTCAGAATGAGTCTGTGTACCGTTAGGAGAGCTAAAAAAAATATTTCAGGTTGAAACTAGGAGGTAACTTTTTTTTTTTTCCTAGTTAGTACCTTTCAAAAGGTATCACATTCTGAATAAAATTAAAGTATAGATACCAAACTGGAGTGTAAATACTAAATATTTGACAAAATATTTTATATTTAAGTGGTTTAGGGTCGGCAAGACAAATGGAGTGTGTTAAGAATTGCTTTCTTCCATAGCAGAGATGAAATACATCCAGGTTCTGTGTACACTGCGCACAAAAATAATAATTACATTGCTGTGGAAACATCAAGGAAATTATGTGAAGCAGAACTCCCATAAAACCTCTGTCCTGTTTTTTATTTTCAGTGAGAAATTTTGGCTTGTCTAGCTTTTCAAATCTAGCATTCACTTTAATTAGTCAAACTGCTACAAAAGTAAACAAAGGTGGCAAATATTTACCTACAGGAGTGGTGGAATAAGTTTATTTGTGTAATGATGCCTATAACCTGTAAAGACACATTTCAGGCAATTGCACAGAAATTTTTCAAATTTTAAAATCAGTGTATGTATAATGCAACTTATTAGTAGAGAAACTTTTCCAGGCATTGCAAACACCTTGGGCATCATTCAGATGTCTACATGTGAATATCCAATGACTAGGGAAGCTAGTGAAAAAAAGTGGAAAAAAAATACATAGTAGCAGCTAAAAAAATATTTAGTAGCAGCTAATAGCAGTAACTACAAAAATAAAAGGAGAAAAAACGTGGTTTACCCACAAAACCAAAGATCCACCAAAAACAAGTGGCACCTCCACGCCTCGGGAACAAAAAGGGGAAAACGCAAAATCTGGAAGGCTATTTCATCTGAAAAGGTTTTCTGCCGGCGTGGGTGCAGAGGGCTCTTTGCTCCCTGCCGCCCCCGGGGCTGGGCAGCGGGCGGTGGGTGCCTGGTGCAGGGGATGCAGCTCCTGCAACCTCGGCACAGCCTCGCCAGGGTGTGAGCTCCGGGAGGCTGGGGCGGCGCGGCAGCTTCGCTCCCTGCATCAGCAGCAGCAGCAGCAGGGCGGGGATGGTGCGCGGGTGGTGGAGAGCTGACGAGTTCTGCTCTCATTTTTGGCCGACGGCGCCGTGGGGGGCCGGGAAAACCACCGGCACCGCGGTGGTTTCCCTGACTTCGGTATGGGATAAACACCGAAACGACTGTCCGATGGTGTGCCTGGGCTCAGCCGGCCAGCGAGGGGACGGCTGGGGGACCCAGCGAAGACTCGGAGAGTCTGCAGTGCTCTGGCAGCCAAAGCCAGGTAAAGAGAGTTCCGTCCCATGCTCGGACTTCTACCTCCTGTCCCCCAGCTTCCAGAATGCTCCTCTCCAAGGACCCCCTTTCCGGCGGATCCCAAAGACCCTGGAAAAGCATTTCCCCAATCTGGCTCAGGCGGGGGGAGGAGGCAGCCCCTACCATACTTCAGATGACCTAATGAGATGAATATTCATTGCTGGAATTCAGTCGTGTCCCCCAGTTGTAACTAAATTGTAACAAGAAGAGATGAGGTCAAGCTGGCAGTTCTGACGTTTTGTTCCCTTTACCTGATCCAATTAGTGCGACCTCGCTACAGGTGGCCTTTTGCACAGCATAAACACATCCAAAATTATTAGTTGTTGCTCTGCTAGTATTAGTGTCAGTACGGCTGGTGGAAATACAGAAATCTCTGTATCTAAACAATTTAATGAGAAAAAGTATATCAGAAGGGATTTAAAGTGTTTAAATTTAGAAGGGAGGAGAGATATGGGTGGGACAATTTATCATTCATTGGTGAAAGACCCAGTAATGCTGCCCTGAAACCTGTACTAACGCATTTCCTCATTTCTGATGGAAATGCATAATGTGCCAAACTGAAGAACTGATATTCTGCTGGCTGCAGTTAACCATTCTCCATAAAGAATGAACAAGAAAAAAAATTTCAGCAATTGTTTTCGCATTTTACATCAATGCATAAGAATTCACCTTATGTAGTAAGAATTCGCTGGTATAATTACATATGGATTTGTATCATCAGGCATCTATCTTTTATTTTTTACAGAGAAGTATAAATTATGTTTTGAAACCATTACCTACATACCTCTGAAAAAATTATTTTGCATGATTCTTCACATGATTCACATATAAGTTCAGACTTACCTGCTATACTGAGAATAGAGAAATTTTACCAATACTACTAGTAAAGATGTAACAAAACAGTTCAGACATGTTATAATTCTCAGACTGGTTAGATGTACCAGATGGGATTCCACCATATGTTTATGAGAAAAAAAAATCCTTTTTTTTTTCAGTTACTGATCCAGTGTCTGAAATCTTATGTTATATCCCTATATGATCTCCTCATTATACTCTGGAAACAAAGCAGTATATTTACAGGCTTTTTACTATTATATTGCAATGTAATTATCATTTATATCTGCATTTCAGAGACCATTCTTATATTGTTAACAAGACCAAAACAATCTTTTAAAAAATCGAAATGTAATCTGAATATACCCCTTTCTGAAGGGTAATTAGAGAACAATTCAAGCCACAAAGTGAGATTCAGAGACAATTTTTCAGCTAATAATTTGGTGCAGGTGCTACTTGAAATCTGAGACTTCAAATTGCAGAGATGAAGAATAATTTGGTGTTACAGAATTGAAAACTAAAAGATGTGCCTTGGTTTAGGTTTAGAACTGTTTACTGGTGTGGAATAATAAGATCTACCTATCTATTCCCTTCTCAACATGTGTCTTAAGAAGACCACAGAAGAGTGTAAGTTTAAAATCCAAGTCAATAAGAAAATTACATGTAGACATGCAAATTTTATGACAGCTAAGTATATAAAACGTTGTTTACCCAATACATAGCGTTTGCAGTATTACAATACACTGTTGTGTGATTTATCCAGTATTTTGATGACAAAACTCTTTAACCATTCACTTCTACAAGGGGACATTCTCTTAATAATAGTGAGTACAGCCCATTAATGTAATTCTGCACATAGGCTGTAAAAGAATGGTGCTCTGCATAAAGTGAGGCAGAAAAAATCAGGACTTTGTTGGAAGGTGTTTGACAGCAAAAGTATCAAGCTAAAATTTCAGTGCTACAGTTAGATTAAAAGTAAATGTAGAACTTGGACGGAATGTTCTGAATTTATAGTAGGTCTAAATCCATAAAAGGATTTCAAGGTCTGGTGAATTTACTTTTAGAGCAACAGAATTTCTTGATGCCAGTGCTGATGTAAAACTCTCTTAGACTAAGAAATTTGGTCAAGGAAGAATCAGGCAGTGGCTGTTCCTTGAGAAGTCTGTACTCCTATAATATTCCCATGGTTTTTCTACTGCTGCAGGACGAGAAAGACCATGAGGCTGTGATATGTATTTACATGGTTGTGCTGTGTCTGTCCAGAAGGGCAATGGATGATTATTGTTGCTTCCCACAGAATTGATCCAACATCTCTTACACATGTCTTCTATATATCAGTTTGGGACAATAAAATTGTTACTTTGACTTTTATAGCTAAGTTAATTGTAATCTAAAGGTAGATTATTATTTGAACTGATAAAAGATCAATATTGTATTATTTTGTATAATTTACTGAAATACTTGTGAAAGCCTTTGCACTATTCAATTTGTGTTGGTTTTGAAAAGCATAATTGCACACAGAACATATACAGTCTGTTACCAAAGTTTATTAAAGAGTGATAAAATGTATTGCATACATCAGAAGCCAAATGCTGACTTAAGAAGAAAGCTGAAAAGAATTAGTAAGAGAAGTATGCAATCCCTGGAAAAGATGATAGCAATTCTATCTCACCAGTAAGACAGCACAGGTAAGGAAGAAACAACTAAACTTCAGAGGTACCAGGTTCTGTCAAGTTCTAAAGCTAGTTACCAACTTTCTGAGCAGTTCCCTGTATTACCCATTTCAATATTCACTTGCATTTACATGCTGCATTTTGAAATTTATGTTCCATAATAAAACTTAGATAGAAAAATGCACTAAACATCAATACTTCAATAGAAGTTGACCCTATCTTAATGAAAAAACCTTTTAAAAGTATAAATTCTCTAGAGTGTTTTCACAAGATATATTGTATATTGTTGGTCCTTTTCCCACATTTTAATAGTTTTTGCTTAGTGCCATGTAATAATTCCAGCCAGACTAGATTATCTTGTGCATCACGTCTAAATGTTTTCACTATTGCTACAATCCTCTTTGCCCTACTAGAGGGCAAAAAAGAAAGCTTTCAGACTCATTAGCAGATGCAGTGATCCTACGGACTCTGTATCTCTTAATAAACAGGTTGTTCATGAAGTCAGTCTGTTTATATTCATGTAAGATCTGTAGCAGCACTGGGACTTTTTTGTCTTCTCCTCATATTACTTATGAGGCTTATGGGTCTAGAAAGGAACAGAATACTTTTAAAGGACCATGTGTGGGCTGCAAAGCCTTTCTAGAAGCCCGTAGGGGTCTCTGTGGGACAATCCATATGGCTACGAGTTTTGTGTTGCAGCAGGAATAGAACAGCATCCCTGTCTTTGAAACAAACAGCAAATTGAGATGAAATGACAGAGATGGAAATACTGCTGGAAAAAAAAAGTAGGAAATAGTGTGTGTCTACAGGCAGAGTGAACTGTATGCTTTACTATTTTTGCAAAGGTTTCATTTTGTTTGTTGTTTTTTTTCCCCCTTGGTTTCATTTTAATTTGGTTCTTTTCACAACTTTGAATATTGGAGTTTAAAATACCTCTGTAATTCCAAGAAGACAAATAATGGTGATTATTCACGTGATTTAGAATACAATTCAAATTCTCTGGAGCAAAGCTTCTACTCTAGGGCTTTTCTATGATAGGTAGAACATCACTGAAAATAAGGTTCAGTTTTCGCACAGGAAATTCAGTTGAAATTGAATTAAATTAACTTGAAATTGAATTTAAATTAACTCCTTGTTGCAAAAATAAAACATCATGGATTTGTTATAATCTTATTGTCCAGTAGTCTGTTCTACAGTGCTGTTCTGTTCTATAGCAGTGAGATTTCAATCTCATTCTGAGTATCTACTTACTTTACACATTGCATTAAGACCCGGGGTTTCATTGACAGCTCTTATGTCATGACTGCAGTCTATGTTAAATTTCATTTTCACAGATTTCACATGGGAATTTGTATGCATGTAATGTAGAAGGAACCAAAGCAATATTAGGGACAATGAAACCATAAGCTTCATCTTCCTAAAGTCCTATACAGAGAAGCCACAGCAACTGCCTCTGGGTGTTCTTCATTCTGTTTCACCACTCTGCCATCTGGGGAAACATAAGAGAATCAGTACATCAGATTCTGGAGGTTTTGCTTAAGAGGTTATTTCTTTTAACAAATGATTTTTTCCCCTTCCTTTTTTTTATAAATATAATCAGGGAAAAATATTGTAACTGGTGAAAACTGACGTAACTGAATCCTACAGCTTTAGTTAGATTCAGATAAAAAGGTTGCAAACCTTGCTTGACCGTGTCCAGTGACAGCATGATGGACAAATTTTTCATGGACTTTGTGTTAGTGTGATGTATGGTTCTTTTTGCCACCCCCCCCAATAAATTAACTTCACTGAGGATAAATATAAATACAAGAACAAGCAGTAACATTACTCAATAATTTAATTCTTCTTTGCTGTGTCTTTGAAACTCCTCAAAGAACATTGCAATCTTTTAGAGTGACTTAATGCATAAGGTAGCAAAGTACAGAGAGATCTCAATGGTTTCACAAAATTAGACAGGCATTGATTTTAAACTGTTTTTTTTTTTGTTCCCTCTTTATTAATATCTTTCTTTGTATACTGAAGGAAATTTTATAAAATACATCTCTCTCTGGTCTTTAAAAGTATAATACCAATTGAGATGTTTATTATGAAATAGTTGGCATTATTATGTGTTGTAAATTTTAAGATTACAGAGTTATTACATTCTACTAGTAAAATTAAGAATTCATGCACTGATTCATTTTCAGTTAAGCATGAAAAGATGGCTTTAACTTCTTGATCATGTGTGAATATGCTACCCAAAGGTCTTCATCTATAGAAATGCCTCAAATAAACATGTCTGAACATGACTGGGATTTTTATTTTTCTGAATGAATATGTAATGCTGAATAATTCTTACTAGCTTATTACTCATTAATGTCTTACCCTATAGTATACATTGCAGGGATAGAGCTCCTTTGATTTTTAGAGGTCTGAAAACAAAGCAAGTCTACCCCATGTGTTATAATATTTATATTAAGTCATATATTTCAGTATGTCTAGAGGCCTAAGAGCCAATAATCCTGGATATTTGTCCATGACCACTGAAAAACCCACTCGAAATCACAAGTCTGTTCATTCTTCTCATAACTGAAGCCTTCCTCATTCATCTGAAGGAGTTAACTCCCAGGGATGAGTCCCTGCTCCTTTGTGCCTTTTCTCCATCCTGCCCTATGCTCTCTGCATATATGACCACCTTATGGCCTAACTTAATCAAAGTAGTTGCAACCGCTTCATTTTAAGAGACCCTTGGTGATACTTCTTCCTTCTGTCAAAGTGTGTCAATTCCATTGATAGGGACATGTCAGGTATTTTTTCTTCAGCTAATCAAATACAAAACACAGGAGTTTCACCATTATCAATTTTGGAGAATTGTGTTTAACTTCAGACACCAGGGAAACTGTAAGGCTAACAATAGAAAGTCTTTAAGCTTTGTTAGTATAGGAAAAGTGCAGGGCATGCTGACTGTGCAGTCCAATTCACAGCTTGGATGTTATTGGATTGAAGTCTGTGCTCTCAATAGGTGGTACCACTGTGACTTTTGATTTTTATTATTTATAATAGGGCCTATGAAGGTATATTATATATGAGAAAAGAAGAGGAAAGCTGAGAAACTTGGTGAGTACAGTCACAATACTTTTCAGAGACCACTAATATTAAATTGATTGTTACTAACTAGCACAGGAAAAGTCTCCCTAGCCCTTTTACTTCCCTGTTGGTTATAATAACATTTCCATTTGCTTTTCTTTTTGTCAATACCACTATTACTGTAATTGCCATAAACAATTAAAAAGGTATTTAAAGCATAGTTACCCCGAATTCTGGTTGCACAAATAAAGTGTTGCAGGAAGGGAATATGCATTCTTAACTCACAGCTGGTAGTCAACCTTGAAAATATCACTGCACATTAGACTGTGTCTTATAAACAGATGTAGTTCCGCTGATATATTTTGTATTTTGTAATGCTCTTTTCCATAAGTTCTGAAGGCTCATATTACTTAGGAATATATGTTGCTTTCTTCTAGGCAATGTGCTGTAACTATCAACTCGTGATATGCAGACGTGCAAGACCTGGTGAAAACAAAAGCCCATTAACCAATATTTGGGGGAACAGACAGTTCTGTTTAATGTTGGATGAAAACTAAGAACTCCTGATGATGAATGCAGGAGCTCTGTTTTCTCTTGTAATAAGTGACTGTGATTCAGCCTTAGGCATAACACAGAGAGGCTTCCAAACTTTCATCAGATTAATTTTTTTTGTCATATTGATTTTAATGGTCCTAGACCAAAAATTAATTTAACCCAACAAGTTTAATGTCTTCAATAAAAAAAAAAAAATTGTAACTGGAGAAAAAAAGAGTGTGGATATACACTGTATGTATTTTTCTACTCTTCTTATCTACACTTTCTCCATGAAGAAAACTAATGTAGACTCCACTAGGATCTGAGGACTCTCTTCCACATGCGTCATCTGAGATAGTCATAATGATAGTTTTGGCTTAGTTTTCAGTATATTCTCTGATCTTGTCAAGATGGAATTTGAGCCAGATTTTTAAAATTTAAGATTGTGGGCAGATTTTGAATGAATCATATCTAGCTGTTAGCAGAAATAGTGGGAGAACAATCAAAATGGCATTGTCTGTGACATATCTGGGACTGTGGGAACAATCTTTCTTCTTTCCTTAGGAAAAGCATCTTGGATTATTTTGTTCTTCCATCATACATTCATGTGTTACTGCTTCAATTCTCTGAAGCTTGGTATCCTTGGTATCTTTGTGAATTAAACCCACTTCAGTAAAAAGCATTACCTATTAGACACCATGATATGGATTCTGTTTTGTGTAGGCAGTTTTTAAATAAGTGTTCCCTACTGTAAATTTAAAAAAAAAGGCTAAAAAGTTGACCTGAGGGAGAAGTACCATTGGCAATGAAAATTATACAAGCAGTAGGTATTGCTAAAATGCTGGTGAGACACAAAAGAGCTCTATAAGTCAACCATATCAGGATATGATTTATTGTAACTATAGTTTATCATAGAGTGGCCATGAGTATATTAGACCTATCAAAAGCAGAAATCTGAGTTAATCTTTTTTCCTCTGTAGTACTTGGATAATGCTCTGTAACAGTGTATGTTGAAGAGAAAGATAACACTACAATACATGTGTTGCATAGCTTAAATTACTATAAAGTATAAGAACAAATTTTTACTGTCTGTCTTCGTTGTTTCTAGATACAAATTTATATGACACTTTTCAATTCAGTGATGTCAATTATATGTCCACTGTAGAATACAAGTATGAGTCTGAGAGGGAAGATTTTACTTATGAAATTATATCTGACCATTTTCTTAAAGTATGAAGGGTCAGTGACAATATGCTGATTTTGAAGATAAATCAGTTTATACCATGTACAAACTTCTCTCCCATTTGGCTATTGAAGCCATATTTTCTATTACATCATCAATAAGATAAATAGTGACTATGTGACTGGCTTAAGTATACCATAAAGCCTGAAAAAGAAACAAACATCCAAGACCTCCAAAGCATATGTGCTAGAAAACTAGATAGATGTAAAGAGCTCAGCCACAGGTTTCCATATCAATAACTTAGTCTTCAGATTTTAATATCTTCAGTGATGTAGGGAAATAGACTATGTTCAACAAAATGCAAGTTTATAGCTCAGTGGATGGAGATTCAGGCTTCCATGATGAATAAATGGCATTGCATTAAATTGCCCTAGCCTCTTACTGCACAACACTATCTGACTCTAGTAAAATGTTACTGTATTACCTTGCTCTTTGTACCAACAGCAGTAGCTCGTATTGCCAACAACAACAAATTGCCCCAGGGAACACCGAGTTCTTTTTGAACTGCAGTACACATGAATAGAGGTGGGTCTGTTTCCCCCGTTAATTTCCAGTGCAAGAAATCCTAGCTTTTGTGGCAGAAGGACAGTCATATAAATAACTGAAAGGTCACCTTATCTAACCATTTTTGCTTCTATGAACTAATCATTCCTGTATGAGTATGTTACAAGATAGACGATTTACAATATGCAGCTTGTATGAGCACATAATATTTTATGTTATTTTTGAATAAAATATCAAAAATTAGCTCTAAAGACTTTATTTTTTTAAGTAGCCTCAAACATTGACAAAAAGACAGGTAGTCCCTAATTTAATAAATATTTTACAGAGTCTTATGACATAAGATAGAGTTTTTCTCTTCACTTGTGGATTGCAGATGGTGAGAAAAACATTGTTTTACACGGGTATTTAACATCTTGTGCTTTTAGAGTTATGAAGTGCCAATTAACACATTTGTTAAAATTATAAGCTATGAATTTAAAGTACTCACAGGCACATGCAGATCAATATTCTAACATCAATGTTTGTATGAAGTGTAATTAACTTAGAAAAAACCCCACATTCCTATTACTGAAATGCAATAGGTATCCTCTTTGACTTGTTTGGTTTACTGAGTTGCCAAGTTAAAGAAAAAACTCCAAACCTGTGTGTGTGTATATGTGACGAGGAAAAGTACAATTCTACAGCACTTCAATCTCTTACAACTTCAAAATACACGACATAAATATTGCAAAATTTGTCCTATGTTCCAAAAGTCTTACTGGTTTCAGAGGCAGTGTGCTTTCTAAAGAAATGCCAAGCAACAATTTCTTCTGTGAGGTGCTCTGTCCTATTGGAATGTGTTTGATATGATCTAAGAGTATGTATCAGATTGTCTGCCATTGAGACTGGGGTGCTTTGGGTGTTTCACAATGTTATATCTGACCTATAACAGAAGTTAGGCAAGCACTAGATGACGAGTCCTACAAAGTAAGGTTGTTACATACATAGACTAATAGCTCAGAGAGCTTTGCAGTTTAAAATTTAATTAGTTAATGGTGTTTCTAACCACAGGCTTTTATGATTTCCATATTGTAAAATAAAAATTGAGGGAACTATGTATTTACACTTGTAAATACAAGGGAACTAGGGATTTACACTTGTACTATATAATTTTTCTTCCCCATGGCATTTGTTACTGGTCAGTGTCAGAGAGGAGACTTTGGATAAACATACTCTTCTTAAGCATAGATTAGGTTTTGAAATACCATTAATCCCATTTAAGATAACTATTGGATTGCATTTATAACCTTCTAAATAAGCTCATAGTTACTGCTCAAGGATTATAGTTTGTCTAGACTGAAATAGTGGACTGCAAAACTCCTTTTTTCCCCTGTTTTGGTACTTTCTCCTTGCGTTCAGTTCATCCTTCAGGATCTCTGCTGTTGCTGGACAGTCCTACACTAGAAATACATGGTAAGACACTAATGTATGACACAAGCAAAGGAATCTTTTAATATAAATAGATAAAACTCTATCAGAAAATCTGCACTTTGCTCAATAATTGTTAATTCTGCCACTTCAAATAAAATAAGATCTCTTTCTGAAATGCAATTTGATGATACTGCTTTATCTTTGCTAAAATTTCTGTCAGCACAGCTGTGTCACACATAGACCACCCCTTATCTTTCTTTAAATCAGTATTGCTGATATGGTCATGAAAAATCAAACAGAATATACATACCCATACTACAGTCATAGCAATAAAATCAGCGTAACACCAACTTAACAGTACTGAACTGAAGCCACGTATCTTGGTGACCTTTAAAAACGTACATACAACATTAGGGCACTGGGAATGATTTACTTACTATTCAGTAGGAGTTTGCAGCCTGTACTGACCTCAGTTTAGTTACAGCTGTAGTAACCCTCATATCTGTGTTACGCAGTCTCGCTTTCTGCTTCGAACTGCAGTACAGGCAAATCTGGTGTCTGGAAATGCCTCTTCCAGTTTCTAGCATTTGTTGTTCAAGGAAGACTTATTCTCTTTGCTGCACTTAACTTGATTTCCTGCTATGAGATTCTCTCTGCTGGTGCTCTAAATCTTAGAGAAAACTCTTCATAAACATGATCAAAACTATTTTATTCATAACTATATTTCATTTGATGAGCTTTATTGTTCATAATTTCCCTTGTTTAGAAACAAACAGAATTGCACTCCCAGAAACACTTCTCTCTTTTCCTTCTTGTCTTCTGAAGTAATCATATCTATCAACCTCTTTATTTAGTCACTGAGAAACCTCACCCCTTGCTGTTAGAAACTATAAATTGGACTGTAATACAGAATATGAAATATAAAGTTCCAGATAACAAAACCTGGCTGTAATTATGTTCACACACACCAAAAAAAAAAAAAAAGGAGGAAAAAAAAAAAAAAAAAGAGACACGGAGGCTTTTAAGTTGAGTGCTAGAAAAGCAATGCAAAACAAAAACCAAACCCAAGGTAACCCAGTTATGAATGAAACACTCCATATGTCTTCTAACTCATGTCATTAAACACATTATGAAATACATGGAAGTCTGCTGTGCTTAGATATTGGCTGAAGCAGGGAAGATGTCATAATGTTGTTTGTAACTTTTAAAAGTTTATCTTTCAGTTACAAGAAATTTGGTTGGCATGGGAGGATATGGACTTGGTGAAGCATAAAGAGGTCTTGAGTCACAATTCTACACCTGCTACCTACCTGTGTATATTGAAAGAAAATTTTTTTGT